GGGGGAGGGGGAGGGTGAATAGGCACAGAAGGGAGAGGACAGTGAGAGGGGAAGCATGTAAAAGGCCAATGGGAGGGCAGCAGAGGTGACATAACCAGCCACCCCCTCCTTGTGCTCACCAGCCAGCACTGGCTGGAAATGGAGCAGGGTGGGGGGAGAGGAGAGGAGCCTGCTGACAGACCAGCAAGGAGAGCGGCCACCCTCTGAACACTGCAACTTTCCCTGATCACCAGACTTGCACACTCCCCTCATTGTCAGTCACTGAACATGTGGCTTACAAACTAGAACAAGCCCTAGTCACGTCTGGATGGCAATATAGCAGTTAAAGAAGTGAAAACCTATTAGGTCATTTTTTCCACCACCCCAGAGATTAATGTAACATTGCTGCTTACAGTATGTTGCCTTCTCCTGTTCTAGAAGGCACAACCTACTAGCCCTGTGTCCAGAGAACTGCACTCTAATGGACACTGCTAGGGAGGACATAACAGAAGCTTTATGGTTTTCAGCCTTTGCAGGTTGTTTTTTTAAAGCCAATTACTTGACTCTATATTCTATATTAGACATAAAACTGAACTCCTGGCAGCTTGTGACCAAAGATCCCATGGCACTGCCTGTAGGCGCCATGGCAGTAACACTGTGCCTTGCCCAAACGGAAGATCAAGTAATTAAAAGCTGTCTCCCTGGATTCGCCCTGTAGTTTCAATGGGATTTCTGTGTTCTTCACTTCTCACCGTATCATGGTGGCCTTGCATTGCTGAGTGTGGTTAGCCAACTGAAGTGATGGGTGAATTGATTTCTATCAATTCCTGATGTCATCCTCACACAACCCAGCGATTCCTTTATGTAACTCACAGAGACAGTGTGAGAGTTAGTTATTGTAGATGAAGTTCTTTGCCTTAGCACTGACACAAGCCAGCGTGGGAGTTGGGAGCTCCTTGGGACAGAGATGAAGGATTTATCAACTCTAGGCACTGAAGTGAAGCAATTTCATGACCACCACTCTTGCCTCTGGAGCACAGTGGTTTTCACAGCTAACAGGCTGCCTCTCCACAGTTATAACAGATCAGTCAGTCCTTTCTCTTTCTCAACCCCAAATCCAGTGTGCTCGGGGGTCCCACAGAAAGGGGTCTCTGGAACAGGCAAGAACACCCCATGTGCAGCTACCCAAATCTTTGCATCTGCTCCCCTCCCTGGAGTGCAAGCACATCAGCTCCTCTGCATCTGGGGATTTTCCTGGCCATGCAGGCAGAGGCAGGGTTTGTCCCACTAAAAGGCACTATTGTACTTCCCAGAAGAGGTGACAGTAAGCAGGTGCACCCTATTGCACAGCTCCAACAAGAGCTGATTGAGCTGTGGCAAAAGCCAGCAGGGAGCTATTTAAAGAGTTGGCAGGAACCCCGGTTGTGATAGGACAGTGCCTGTGAGAAATTTTAAGCTACTTTCACCGCTGCTTCCCACTTAAGCTCCTTCAGCTCAGTTCATCTTTAATATGACCAGACCTGCTTGAAATAGCCTCAATGTCCATTTTCTCCCTTCCCTGCAGCACAAGCCATTCCAAAGCCCTATTGCCATTGCGGGGCAATGGGTTTCTGCACGGATCCATTGCTACCATCCCCACAGCCTGCCTGCAGCCCCTCACACATTTCCTCTCCTTTTGGTCATTACCTGGTATGCTTCAGGCAGCTACAAATTGAGTCTGGCCGGAGGAGACAAGACAAAGAGAACTGTCAGGAAAATGCTTCCACTTCACTGAGGCTCCTGCACATGAATTCAGCACAGAATAGGACATACAGCTGACCTTGAGAGTGTATCACGAGCACAGCAGCGCATAGAGTAATCCAGTGGGACTGCTTGGGAGACTATTGGTAGAAGGGTAACAGGAACAAATCCCATGGGGGCTACTCATATGAATAAGATTTACAGGGCTAGGCCCGAGGGGAATACCAGGGTTTGTTTGTTCTTTTACAGGAAGGAGAAGCATGGAAATACAGCAGTACAGTCACAGAGGCAGCTTTGGGTACCTGCTCATCAGAAGATGAGATCAATTCATTTGACAAAGACAACAGAATACTCCCCAAGAGTGACCCTAAAATGCTATCTGTCTCTAAGCCTTGTCTACACTATGCAGAAAATCTATACTGCCCCATTGATCTACCGGAGTTCGCTTTAGCAGATCTAGTTAAGACCTGCTAAATCAAACTCAGAAGGTGCCCCCATTGGCACCGGTACTCCTACTCCTCATAAGCAGGAGTGGCCCGTGAGCCTAGGCAGACTAGGTGGTCGCCTAGGGTGCTGCCGGCCCTGGTGCCTGATGATGACGTCATGGGGCGCCAGGGTGCCCCGTGATTACATCACGGCCATTGACGGCCGTGCAGGCGGGGGTGCTGATCGTGTCTTCCACCTGGGGTGCCAGCTGCCACAGCCGGCCTCGGGCCGCCCCTGCCCATAAGGAGTAAGGGAAGCTGATGGGAACATTTGCTCCCATTAGTCTCCTGTTGTGTAGATGGCACAGAAACGTAATGTCAGATATGTCAAGTCCAGCTACGTAATTTAAGGCCTAGTCTACACTACATCGGAAGGTCGAAGTAAGATATGCAACTCCAGCAACATAGTTGCATATCTCACTTTGACCTTCCAAAGTAGTGTAGGCCAGGCCTTAAAGACTTTGCCTTTGTGAGATAGGCCTATACAAATATCATTTTACAGACCAGACACAGGGTTCTTACCTATTAAGGCCACTCAGCAAGTCACTGTCAGAGCCAGGATCAGAGCCCAGGATCACTGTGTCCTGTGCAAAGCAACCTGACCTCACAAGCTGATAACCCAAAGTTACTCACCTGACCAGTTGTTTGAAGATTATAGCAGACAACATCTTGATTTGTGCTGGGGGTGGTATAGAGAAGTGCTCCAATGAGCCAGCACATCCCCAAAAACAGGTCAGAGAGGCTCAGGTAGAAGAGAGGACGCACCTAGAAAATTTGAATTGATCATTTTGCGTGGTGAGCATTGTATGGTCAGCTACAATGAGGATTTCATTTTCACCATCCTTTCCTGATATACTTGTGTGCCAAGCCAGCCTTATAATGCGGCTGTCGCTACATGGAGGAAGTTGGATTGACTTGTGTACTCAGTACAGGTTTGCAATAGAAGCACCCAGATTTAATTATCTTGGGCCGCATTTGCAACTGCCCAATAACCTGAGAGCTGCTTCAAATCTAGCTCTGAAAATTCAAAATCTATGGTTTAATACCATACATTCCTTTTGGTGTGTTATTAGTAACACCCAGGGTGACAAACACAGAAATATTTTGAAAAATCAGATGTTTTTCTGACAATGGGTGTTTGTTTCTCTGCTGCATAGCATAGCTTGGAAAATGGAATATCACTTTAGTTAGCCAATTTCAAGTTCTCATGCACTAGCACAAGAGTCATCCATTTGAACAGGGCCACCCCAAGGGTTGTTTTACACCTTTGGAGAATTATGACTTAACCCCCTCCCCTCTCCCACACACACACATTCAATAACTTGGGAGAAGCAGCAGGGGAGCCTATGCTAAAGCCCCTTCATGGCCAGCTCTGCCTGGCACAGAGAGGAAGAAGCGCTGCGTGCTGCTGTTCCTCCTCTCTTCCCCATCTCTGGTTGGAGGAACAGCAGTGCGGGGAAGTGTTCGCCTGCAGGCTTATTCCTGCCTCTCCCACTGGCCAGGTTTTTGACACATCTTAAGAGACTGATTCATTCGCCTATATGGTTAGGCCAGTCCTGCATTTGAGTTGTAAACACTGCAGGGAAAGATTTTCTTGTTTAAAAATGCTGAACACATTTTCACTGACATAGTAAGTTGTAGGTGAAACTAGGCCTACAGGCAGTCCCAGGGTTACGTACAAGATAGGGACTATAGGTTTGTTCTTAAGTTGAATTTGTATGTAAGTCGGAACTGGCTCCAGATTCAGCCGCTGCTGAAACTGATCAGCGGCTGACTACAGGAAGCCCTAGGCAGAGTTGCTCTGCCCCCGGCTTCCTGGAATCAGCTGCTGATCAGTTTCAACAGTGGCTGGATCTGGCCCCCCGGGACAGAACAGCTGGGGCACTGCCGGGTAGGTCCCCGCAGGACCAACCCAGCAGCACCCCAGCTGCTCTACCCCAGGCGTCCCGCAACAAAAGCCTGGTCTGCTGGGGGGGGGGGGGGCACTAGCCGCCGGCGCACTAGCTGTGCCCCCTCCCTCCCAGCAGACCAGGGAGACCCGAGCAAAGCCGCGGAGGCGCATAGGTCCCGCCGCCTCTGCGACTTTGCTCCTGTCTCCCTGCTGTGCTGGGGGAGTTCCCCCCAGCACAGCAGGAAGACCTGAGCAAAGCCGCACAGGCGGCGGGGTCCCCCGCCTCTGCGGCTTTGCTCCTGTCTCCCTGCTGTGTACAGGGGACTGCCTGTATTATCTAGGTGCCTATATGTGGATTTCAGTGCCTAACTTTCAGCATTCAGAAATGAAAAAATTAGTCTTTTTTTTTAAGAATTTTTAAAATTAAGCAAAACATGCAAACATTTATATAAGTTTTAGATTTGGGAAACCTTATTTATTTCTTGGAACCTACTTGTGGGCTGAATTTGGCCAGACATTGCTTTTGAATTGAAAATAAATGTGCACATCACTATATTTGCTTGAACTTGTCTATTCCCTGACCTGTTGATTTAGTCAGTGCAGCAGCAATAAAAATCTACTAGCAGGCTGTTTTATCCGTACTTATTAGTTACAGATAGTGAAATCTGTTTAAGCTCTTTCTAAGGTATAATTTTCCTTCAGGTTTTATAGAGTGGCTGAGACTGCAAATTTTTATTTTTATCTTAAGATCTCTATTTTTATTAGCACAGTGCATTGACCCGTCACCTCAGCAAACCTATGAATCAAATTTTGTATTGCTAAGTATCTTGAGCTAGTTTCCCATCATTAGGTTCATTGCATTTATTAATCCCTCTTAAAACATTTTTGAAACATTGCCAACCATTTCTCCATGCAGAACCAAGCAGGTGTACAGCAGTGTAGCATTCTATGCATGATTGATACTATGGGTATATTAAAAACAAATCTGGAAGAAGGCCGATGATCAATTTTAATGGGTGGACAGATGACCCAAGTCTGTACAAGTGTAGCAAAACTCAACTATTTATCAAGCGGGTTATCTAGGTAAAGGCATATACAAGGAAGTTGGAGGAGTAGGTGATGCTGTGGTTAACATGGAAGGCAAGCCAGTTATTTCCTTCAGGAAGAAAATCCAAATCATTTATAAACTGAAGGAAATAAATGTAATGGCTCAAAATTGCTGGTTAGCTGAACAAAATGTATAGCCACTTTATATATGTTTAGACTAGGCTGGGGACACTTTAAAGCACATCTGTTTGCATAAAAACCCTGTCTACACTGGCCACTTGAATTTCCACAAAAGCACTGATGATGATCTCATGTAAGATTGTCAGTGTTCTTGCAGAAACAGTATGCTGCTCCCGTTCGGGCAAAAGTCCTTTTGCACAAAACTTTTGTGCAAAGGGTCAGTGTAGACAGCTCAGATTTGTTTTCCACAAAAAAGCCCCAATTGCAAAAATGGCGATCAGGGCTTTTTTGTGGAAAAGCGCGTCTAGATTGGCACGGACACTTTTCTGCAAAAAGTGCTTTTGCAGAAAAGTGTCCATGCCAATCTAGACTCTCTGTTCCGAAAATGCTTTTAACGGAAAACTTAGACATCTAGACGTAGCCCTTGTTTCTTCAATGCTGTACCCATAGAGGCACCAGGGTTTAGCTCTGCTTATATTTTTGAGTCACCCTGTTCTTTTTTATCACAAAACAGGCAAAATTGTTTTGTTAGCATGTCATGCCTTAAACACAATTTAGTTAATGTAGAGGATTTTCTGGATTCTGTAGATCCAGAAAATGTGTTTCAACAATGAAACATTCAGCTGCCAGTTCTATAGTGTGGAAAGATAGGTACCTATGATTCCCATACCTTTCAATAACTGGGAAAAAAATCTTCCTATTAAACATATTACTCTTTAAATATCAGGGAATAATCTGATCCTGACAAGCATCAGGAAGGATTCTCCCTATGGCTTTCATTTACAGAACTGTACAACCAGTGGGGGAAGTGGGAGCATACTGAGATACGCAGCTTTTGCTGAAGCATCAGGAATTAACTACCATGCCAGGAATTAACTTTCATACAAGTCTCGAAGCCTGCTGCACAGTTGCCAATGCTGTGTTCTGATGTAATCAAACTAATGATGTCACTGTTCTTGAAATAAGACACTTTTTGACACAGGTGGGGTAGTCTAATCACCTCTAGCCATTCATGTTGAAATACATGGGCTCCCTAGAGCCAGTGCCTCCAATCCTAGCAGGGATAACCCAGCCATCATTCTTCCAAGGTAAATCAATTTGAGTTCCAGGAAGTTGATTCTGTGTTTAGGGTGGGCTTTTTCTATGAGGTCTTATATACCGAGGCCCTATCTGCTCTTTGTGGATAAGTCCCCTATTTTGTAAGTCCCCTAAGTTTACAGTGGACTCTGCAGCTCACACACACTATGTTCCATAGGAGTTTTGGGTGTGTGGGACTCATAATATGTGACATACTTTGGAGATGAGGAAGATACAGAACTAGAAAACTTTGATAAATTATAACAGAATACTGGTTTAGAAGTACAGCTCACCTAATTTCTGACACAAAATACTATTCAGTCGCCCTCAACTTTCCATTAACTTTGAAGTTCTTGAATATTATTAGTGCACATTCTTGTGAAAAGCAAATGTTATGCAAACATTTTAATTGACAGTGAATTGTAAATTATTTCTGACTGGAACATTTGCAATTTACAGTTTACTGGTTACTTCCAGTGGTCATTCAGTCAGCAAAATGAAACACCATCTGACGTGCATAATTAATTAAACCATGGGAATTCTGAAGTTTGAATCTCAAATATTTGCAGTAAATATTTTGAGGCTATTCATATTTGGTAGAAAAGCGAAGCATAAATCAATGTATCTTTTTGAATCATGAGTTAATCTAAGGGTTTACAATCTGCTAAATCATCAGAAAAGGAAGTTCAATGAACAAATTGTTGTGAAACATTTGTTCAGCTGCAGTCATGATAATGCTTATAGTTTTACATGTAATTATATTTGGTCAGAGGTGCGGAATCCTCACAAAAGTCAATGGAAGTTGAATGTGGGTATCTGAGTGCAGAATTTGACACAATAATACTCATATCCTTTGACATGCTCCTATATGCTCTTAATCCTCGCAACTATTTTCCTTCATCTTCTGAAGTAGTTTTAGTCTTGTTTCTATTTAGCCAGACTGAAAAAAATCCATGTGAGAGGCAAAGTGACTGTTCCCCAAAAAGAGTCAGTGTCAGAGTGAAGTGTTGGAATGAAGGCTTCTTGGTTCTCAGTCTTTGACTTAGACTATATAGGCACAATTTAGCATTATCCACTTACATACATGTTATGGGGAAGGATTAAAAATCATTGAAAGCACATGTGCTTCATGAAGCAGTGCATAATTACAGCAAAACATATACCTGTGAGTTGTTTATTCATCTACCCCACAGTATTAAGCATTTGGTTTGTTCTGGTAATAATAAAAACAGTGTGCCTAAGAAGTCAAAGCCGTCACAGTGGAGAACTCATGCCCACACATCTGTTTTGTTACATAAAACATGATTTATCCTCAGGGTAGTAAACATTCAGACTTAAAAAATGAAAGGCAGAATCCTTACCTCTGGGGATCTCACCACATTTTGGAAGACAGCATAGGCAATAATTGAGCTGGAACCTATAACACTGAGAAAATGAAGAGCAGGTCTGTTGGAGAGTGCTACTTTGGATTTTGTTTCACTTGATCTGTGTATGTCTGGGTTGTTATTCTCTTTTTTATGTTCTTTCTAGAAGATTGACCTGGCCTTTCTTGGGTTCTTTACTCAATTAATTGTTGAGCTTTGGAAAATAAAATGAAAAGGTCCCTGCTTCATGTAAATCATTGCTCTGGGGTGGGGGTGGGGATAAGGGGTTCCGTTTGCAGGCTGCCCCAGGGACAGAGAACTAGCTCAGTCCTTTTTCACCACAGCAGCTTGGGGCCAGGTGAGAAGTGCCTCCTCCTGGCTGCTGTAGCTCCAGCGGGCACAGCCGGGAGAGAGTGCATGTCCGTCCGCTAGGGGACAGACACACAGGCAGACAGATAAACTTACTCAAATATTCAGTAGATTAATAAGAAGACAATAATCAATAATAAATTCCTGTCTTGAGTTCCAATGAAGGAGATTTAAAGGGAGTAATACACCTTCAAGCAAGCTACAGGGAAGGCTCTCATTCCTGACATTTGCTTACTAGTTTCAAACAATATACTGTACCTTAAAGTGGCCATGACAAACTGTATCCATTGTATAGAGGAATAAACCTGGGGGGTACATAAAAAAGCGGGTGGTAAGTGCAGCTGTAACCATACTCTCCATTCCCATTCTCTATCTCTAATAAAAATGGCTAAATTGTCCAAACTCGATCATAAATACAGAGGGGCAGGGCACACCCTGGGTGCTTGATGGAAAACCTCAAAGCCATGTCTCTACCTTAAAACTGAAAGAACCAGCTCCAAATTTCTCTTAAGAAGGTTTTCTTTACTGAGGGCTAGGTTATGCAAGGTGCCGTGTCATCACAGAGGCTCGACATGAGCTGCATGGCTCCAGAGCGCAGATGGAAAATTAGAGAAGGAGGGATTAGAAAGATGGAGAGAGGGGAGAAGGAAGGATGGTAGCAGGAGAAGGCGATGTTTTGCTATCGCCAGAGGAAGCATTGGGCGGAATGGGTAGAGAGGGAGCTAAGAGGGGACGGCGGGGTAGAGGGATTGGGTCGGTGAGAGGGAGGCTGTCTGAGTTGGCAGAGACATCGGAGGGGACGGATGGAGAGACTAAGGGATAGAAGAGATGAGATCCGAGGAATGGGTATCTGGAGCGCACGGACGGTGCGGGCTGGCCAGGGGCTCAGAGGGCTGGGTGGGTGGTGAGACCAAGGAATGGGTAGCTAGTGCTGGCTCTGGGCTAGGCTCGCTGGCGGAGTCCTAGGGACTCGCCCACTCACCTCCTGCCAGTCCCGGTCCAGCCGGGTGACATTGAGCCCGGCTGTCTGCGCTGCGAGAGCCATCCGGCGCCGGCAGCCCCTTGCCCGGGGCACTGCGCTCAGTGCTCCAGCCGGAGCCCCTGCCCGGCTCCTCCTCCCGGTCCGGCTAGTCCTGCCCCTGGCCGCCGCGCAGCTTCCCCACCCAGCTGAGCACGGGCAGCCCGGGGCAGGGCAGAGCAGAAGGGGAGGGCAGAGGGAATGCGGGAGACTGGGAGGGCGGAGAAGAGACGGCGCAGAAGCCCGAGCCGCTCGGAATGGACTGGGAAGTGAAGCCACCCCTGGTACATGGGCAGCTCTCCCCCTCTGTCGCATAAGCACCTGCCGCTGCGGCAGCCGGTCCCTTTGGATGTGTCTGTGTGAACGCTCCCCTTCTCCGTTCCTCTGCTCAATTCCTTCGAGAGTCATCCTTCGCATTTTCTTGTCCCCCTTCCCCCCCATTTTCCGTCCCTTCCCCTGCGCTCATGGGAAAGTGTTCTTCAGCCTGCATTAGTTCAGGAAGGCTTCATGCAAAAGTGGCTCCTGCATCTTGCTCCGCAAATGGGCCGGATTGGGACCACCGTGCACGAAGGGACAGCAGTACCGAAGCCAGCAGAGCCCTTTCCTGCAGTCAAGGATAATGGAGAGCCCGGAGCAGTCACCGGCAGAGAACGGCGCTGGGGAAAAAACCAAGCCAGCGGCTTGTGGAAATGTGCTCGTAGAACGGAACCTATTCCGGGAGCAGCGTGAATACTAAGCGTTCAGGGGACAAGTACAGCTTAAAATCGAAGCAGGCTGCGTTACTTAGCGGACTAGAAGTAATAATGATAATGGGGTGGAAAATTCCCTCTAAGGAATTGGAAATCATGGGAGTTTTAGTCTGTGGAAATTCCTCTGAATTGGGAGAGGAGACCGTTTGCACTGGAATGGGTTACCTGAAGCACTGGAATGGGTTCCCTAGGGAAGTAGTGGAGTCTCCATCCCTAGAGGTGTTTAAGTCTCGGCTTGACAAAGCCCTGGCCGGGTTGATTTAGTTGGGATTGGTCCTGCCTAGAGCAGGGGGCTGGACTTGATGACCTTCTGAGGTCTCTTCCAGCTCTATGGTTCTATGTTTGCTAGTAATTTATATAATTGGGCTCCTTACATTGTGGTAAGTGTTCGAGGGCAAGCATCTGCGTACACAAAGGGTCCAGCCCAATGGTGGGCAACCTGGCCCATCAGGGTTCTATGTGTGGCCGGTGAGACATTTTATTTACCATTGCCCATGCATGGGGTTGCCAGATTCTGCTGGTTTCTCTGCTGTGTAGGTTTTTTCCTGCCGATATTATTGAAGTGACACACACACAAAGGGAGGGCAGGGTGAGGTGAAGTGCGTGCTGCCTGCACACAACACTGACCATGAGACCCTTGCGCTCTCTCTGCATCCAGTCACAGCTGCTACCCTTCAGTCATCAAACCCCACAAATCCTAGGTGCGCAAGCACAGTTAGCAAAACAGCCCTTCCCTGGAAGACTGCTTTGGTTACAACAGTGTTGCAGCCCAGTGAGATGAAGGAGGGCCTCTCATGTGGCCTACTCACTAGCATAGGTTGCCTGTTGCTAGTCTTCCCTAGGTTGCTCCTTGGTAATCCAGCCCAGGTTGCCTATAGCTAGTCTAGCCTAGGTTGCTCACTGCTAAGCTAGCCCAATGGAGTCCTGAGCCTGACTCAAATCTCCTGGCATTGCTGCACTAATAATGATAATTCTCAAGACATCAGGGCACCCCTTGGTCATTGGTGTGGTATGTTAGGCCCAACACAGAGTAACTGCCACTGGGATTAAGGCAACTAAATATATTTGAGAGTCTAGGCCAAAGCTCCCTGTCTCCTCTATTCTGCATGGATTATCAATCTGCAGCAAGGCTGATCCGCCAGCACTTCCTCCAAAACATGAATTATATTGGTTTAAATCCTTCTTCTACCAAGGGCAAGTGGTATTTATGCCCATTTCAAGGGCTGTTCACATTTTACACCTTCTTTATAGGAACAAGTCAGCATTGCAAGAGTGGGGCTACTGTTCCCAAAGGGCTAGTCTACATGAGAAACAGTACATTGGTGCTGTTGGAGTGTATTTACAGTGTTCTCCTGTGGGCATAATAAATCCATGTCTACAAGTGGTACCTAGGTTAGTAGGAGAAGCTCTGCCACCAACATAGGGCTATCCACCTAGGCACTATTGGTGTAACTTATATACCCCTGAGTATATTAAGTTATTCCAAAGTAAGAGGTAGTGTAAACCTGGGCTAAGATTTGGGCCTATTTTGTATCTACAAAAGATTACAGAGTTACTCTCTGGACTCCTACCTTTGCATTATAAAATGGATTTTGATGGATGTTTTATGGGATAGAGAAGTGGTACAAAAGAGCTGATCAGTAACTGAAATTCTCACAAGTGTCCTCACCTGATCTGTACCATTGAAGAATAAAGATACAAGGCACAACAAAGAACATGATTCTCCATAATTAATATAGAGCTATGGAAAACATTGAGGAACTATGGAAAATATTGAACATGAAATTCACCCATAATCAGAAAGACTGCCCAAGGCCCTTTGCTCGTTTAAATCCTATGGTGCCTTTATAGGATATAAACAGTGTGCAGACCTTGTGCTGTTTCTCTGCACAGGAGTAAGTTTCACCTATTGAGAATAGAAAGAAATAGTCAGCTCAATCATAGATCATGTAGTCACTCTGGGGAAGATTGATGCTGCCACGATCAATCTTCTGGAGTTCAATTTAGTTGGTCTAGAAAAGACCCACTAAATCAAACTCAGAAGGCACACCTGTCAGCAGCCTGTACTCCTGCATTTGCTCCCATCAGCCTCCTGCATTTGCAAGTTTCGATGGCAGGGAAACTTGAATCAAGGTACATTGACTCCTGCTATGTAATTAATTCGACCTTCCCCTTTAGAGTAGACCTGACCTTAGTAAACATTATGAGGACTGAGGCTGGAGGGGGACCATAAAATTATCAATAGAAAGATTTCAGATCCCATTACCAATATTCTGAGTCATCTTGTTCTCTACTGTTAGCAATCTGAGTTTATCATATTCTATTGCCCAATGATAACAGTCAATAACATCAGATCACATTTATTGGACCAATTTTCCTTTACCAAGGTGGATCTTGCATATTTATGCTAATGAAAGATTGT